GTGGCAGAGTACTAAGGGGGGGACTATAGAAAATTTGACTACTCTTGAGGGGGGGGTCCTTAGGAATATTACAGAGCCTTATGGCCTTAAGATAAGTTCAGTGCCAATTTTTTTATCTTAATTATCTTGTATCTGTTATGAGTTTAAAATAATTTTTTTCCTTTTGTAATTAGTTTTTGGCACTGATCCTTTTTAAACTAGGTAAATAATTAAGGCGGCTTATTTTAAGGAATCTTGTATTCTGTTTTAAGTTGTCCCCAAATTGATTGAAGTGACTTGTTCAATGTAATTAATTCGGATTAAAGGATCAACCATGGGCACAACCATGGTCCCCCCGACCTCTACGCTCCCTTCCCCCGCTCGAAAGCGATAAATAGTGACCAGTTCCTTAGCAATTTCCTTTTGCCGAGGAAGACTTTTCAAAGACATGCTAGCCCAAATACGGCTTTAGCCGTAGGAAGTTAGAGCAAACCGATAGACCAAGAAAACTTAACGATATCCTCAAGGAAATAAAGTTACTTACTTTGTTTCTACGACTTTTGCTTGATTCCCGCTGATAATAAAAATGGGAAACAGTATGGCAAACACACAGCCGCTATGGATAAGGAAAACCACCGTTATTTTGATTAAAGCTGTGAAACAAAACTTCCCTAGACTAGTCCCCTCATATTTGACTGCACTACAATGCGGTAGATATACAAGTGTTTTCAATGTGAACAAAGAGAAAGCCAGTCTTCACGGGAATTGGGCAACCCTTCGACCACTGGGAGTGACTAGCATTGAACGCAACCCCTGAATCAAAGCATTAATGTTGTGAGAATAACGGGATTGATCACCAAGTAAAGAGGCTCTTGATTGCTATACAAATTCTCCTTTTGCGCCTTAGGAAATGTATAGAGAACAGTTGGAGAATATTCATACTGATGTTGGGTGTCAAGGCCAAACAATTGGCGACAGTGTCATGGAATAAGGTGGGGGGGGGGGGGGTAGGGAAGCAAAGACTTTTTCCTCGGTTTCAAGGTCAGATAGGTTTTGGTTTTAGGAGAGATGATTTAGAAAATGTCCATTCTGTACGAAAATGTAAAAACCTGTGGCCTTACATAACAACGTGAAAAACGCTTTTTGCGCTCGCAAAGAGACACCTTTTGGTCACTAATAACCATTCCGTTTAGATCATCGTTTTCCGCACTTTTCAGTAAGAAAACGTTTTCCCGCTCTTTCCAAACAGGACATGGATTCCCGAATTCTTCAGCCGATACTCGTTTTTCATTTGGGACATGTCTTATGTTCCCATGCTCTCTAATCCGTACATGCTATCTGTCACCCCCTGAGAAGTAAGCATGGCCTTCCCCTGTCATCACACTTGCGGTAATTTTATCCTGTACAAACCTGATTATAGTGGAAGGCGCTAGTGAGGTGAGAACAGCAAGAGGAAGTCCAAATCCCACGAAATATGGCCAGTTACATTCCATGTACGTAAGTCGCTTTGGGGCGGGCCATCCTGTAAAATACATTCCAAAGAAACAACATTAGATTGAACAAGACGATATACCAACTGATCCTCTGAAAATTTGACACCGGTGAAATTATAAGATTCCGTATAACCCAATAGTTTCTCTCGGTTGTCCTTGTTTGATTTTGTCACACCACAGGTGGCCCAAGCTCCAGCTGAGAGATGACCATCTTGCGAAGTAACAGTCATGGCGAAGTTATAAGAGTTTGTATGGGAATATTTACGACCGCTCAAAGGAATAAAAAAATAAGTCAAATTCTCAATAAAAAATACCTCACTTTACTTCCACAGTGCATCGCTTGTTATCTAACCGCTTACTACGTTGAAGAGAACCCATTTTGGCAAGTTATCCATTTCGAGGTTTTCTACGTACATAAGATGGTCAAGATAAGCCCAAGGCTGCACATTCTATTTCCGAAAGAAAGTAAGCGGTCCGATAACAAGCAATGCACTTTGGAAGTAAGGTGAAGTATTTCTATCGAGAATTTGTCTTATTTTTTTATTCCTCAGAGCGTTCGTAAATATTCCCATACAAACTCTTATAATTTCGCCATGACTGTTATTTCGCAAGATGATCATCTCACAGCTGGAGCTTTGGTCACCTGTGGTCACACAACGCATTCCAGTGAATACGTTGCGTTGCCAGACCAACCCCTCCCAGATACAGATCGAAACTCCCTGTATCCTATACTTTGCTTAAAATTACCACTTGAAAACTTTTAGGTGCTGAGAACCTCAGAGGTCTGAGACAAGAGCCTTAAGGCACCTTGCCAATCCTCCAAGCGCACAGCCTTATTCAGCAGGCTACAGTCACATCTTAACCATTTAATTCCCAAGATCTGATTATTAATTCTCTCAACAGCTGCTACACATTTCCTTGTAAATTAAGTACAAGAATCTGGTATTAGATCAAGATGATAACTTCTGCTTGATAGGCTGGCATATTCTCATTACCTGTTTACTGGATGATGTAAGGATAATATAGGGAGAAAGTTCATATTATATCACTACTAGTTAACTAAAGGAAAATACTAATCTTTATCTCACCCATATTCACCCACTTGTACTCAAAGGAATAAAGTGAATACAGCAGACACATATGAGCCAAACTGACCACAGGACCAACAATTGGAAGAAATCCTACAACCACGGCCTAAAAAAAAAAAGAGTAAGGTTATACTTTTTACTTCTCTGGCTCACTTTTGCCAAAGAAAATGAGTCACTTTGATTGTACAGTTTTTTTTTGGCTGATTTGTGATTCAACAGTAGTCAAGTGCTAAGATCTTATTGGACAGAGGCAGATCCAGGATTTTCATCATGAGGGGGTGCACCAGTTAGGAATGATCTAACTGGAGGGTGACAAACAAATTTTGAAAGTGAACTATGGAGAAGAAGGCTTATGACAAGGTAATCATGGTGAACTGCTGAGAAAACATACCATTTACATGGCACTCCACATAAATTCCTCAACATCATCTTGTGTTTTACTTCAACACCAATAAACCACAGTTTTTTTTTCCTTTTTTAATTGCAAAATATTGATTTATCAGGAATCTGCAGGTCATTTCAGGGGGGAGGGGTGCACACCCCCTGCATCCCTCCCCTAGATCTTCTCCTGTTTCACTTGCAATTATTTTGCTTACTACTCAGTTAGGTATTTATCTGAACCTGTTTGTTTAAAAGGAATAAAAATTTTTTTGTCAAGAAACTTCAAATGCAAAATTTCAAACTACCCATATGTGGTTTTCAGCAGATTAACAGAGTGTAAACTTCAGCCCTCAACTTTCTCTCTCTTTCAGCCAAATAAATTCTAGTGCCAAATAAACCCTTCACAGGTTTATTTGCAACCAACATATAGACCAGCTCCCAGTTGGCTTGTTAGCTCAGTTGGTAGAGTGCTGTACAGTACTGCAGAGATCATGGGTTCATATCTCATACAGGCCTGAATTTTTTTCAGGCCTTATTTTCACCACTACTATTTAACTAGTGATCATAAATCCTAGTGTTTCAAAACATTCCTATTAATACGAATGACTCCCACAGAAAACATACATCAACTGTATACCTTGAGAACTTAACTACTGTAACATACAGCAATTTATAAGTAAATTTTGATAGCGAATGTCAGTGACAGACTAAATAATACGTCAACTCATAACCATTCAACTAATAATTTGACCCAAAAAACAACTTACATACAGAAAGCCTTTGACATACTGATTTCAAAACTCAGACAAAGTCTTACACAATTGGAACAATCTATTATGAGTTACCTGCACAAGAAAAAGCACCTGAAGCAAAAAGCTAAAGAAGAAGTCAGCCACTGTTTTACTGATGTGGGATGACACACTGAAATCAAATTTCAAATCTCACATCAATACATATCTCTTACTAACTGAATACAAGGTCTGTACTGTAAGTTACTGACCTGCATCTACAAATCCCAGTGGAAAACGCAAGTTTTCATAACTTACAGTCAGACCAGGGATACAAGTTTAGTGAAATATTTAGTAAATCTCTGAGTTCAAATAGAGTGGAAGATTTTAATTCAAACAAACTTTTGAATTTTGCAGGCCATACAGTGAAATATGGTCTGCTAAACTAACCAATTATACTGCAGATACTAACTTAATAAAATACTTTAGACTCTTTCTTTCAACTATGTTATAGATAGAAGTTAGTAACATAATGAAAGCAAATAATTTCCTTCAAATATCACAGAACTGATCCCATAATTTGAAAATTCAAGGACTCAGCATATCAACCTTTCTTTCTTGAGTGAAGCCAAGAATCCAAGAGGCCTTCCTCTAGTGTTGCGGTATGCAGAATCAGCTATCTCCTAAATCAAATATTACATAATGCATAAGAGAACATCCTGTTAACCCTTTAACACCCAAGATCTGATTGTTAAATCTCCCCTCTTGGTGTCAGATCAGGATAACAACTTTTACCTCATTAGTTTCAATATTCTCATTACCTGTTTGTAAGATAATGTATGGATATTATAGAAAGTTACCTGTTGATTACTTCTAAGAGTTCAAGGGTTAAACAGATCTCTTGAGCTATGAAAGCATACACCTATAGGAGCTTCCCTCTGTTGCAGGAATGGAATTCAAATATTTGAATTTCCAGGTTCCCTGTCCATCTGGGTTACTTTTATACTTTTCATTTCAAACTACAACATCTCTAGATAATGCAGAGAAAAAAATTCAAATTGAAAAGCAAATGAATACAAGTGGAATTGGTGATATAAACAACAGAGATAAAAAGTTACCTGATACCATAATGAATTGAGTGGCTTGCTGAGCCAAAAGAGAGGTAACACCCACAAAGCACTGAACAAATATGATAACAAAGGTCCCATCCATCTCCACAGCCACAAACCCTGATGGTGTGCATTTCCAACCAGTGTATCTATGGTCATTATTATAAATATACTTGCATTTTTCAATCATAAAGGGATAAATTTGCAATCAATTATCATTCA